CAGTAGGTTTTGCTCAGATACTGAAAATAATACATGTAGCAGCCCGTAGAGGGGTCTTGTGCATACAGAGCCTCTCGCTTCTTGGCGTCAGTGATCTCGATAAGGTCGCCGTGGTACTCCACCACAAAGTCGCCCCGGGAGAACTGCTTGGTGGCGATCACGCCCCTGCCTTTGCCATCAATGAGGTCAATCTGTCAGGAGGTGACAGGAGTGTTGTTGGTTGATAAGCCTGATGGATGCTACCAAGCCTGGAGGGCTTCCTGGAGCCTTGCATGTTCTTAACCAACTTAACTGAGCTAGGCCTCAATAAAAACAAAATCCACTCCTGCCGGGGCACGGCTGCAGGGGCTTCACTTAAAGCACACGCTGTGCAACCGCAATGCAACTGTAGGCGCCTTCCACGCCCCTGCAGAGCACCTCCGCGCCCATCGGCACACACTGTTCCATCAGATCCCAGCAGTCTGCTAGGTGGGTACTGCCCCATCTGCAGATGAGGACACTGAGGCAGAGCCACGTGTCTAAGGCCACAGGCTGGGAAGGGGTGTGGTGGGAAGTCAGCCCACAATGCACTGCGCTCTGGGTAAGGAGCAGRGCCTGTGTCCTGGCCTCTCCTGCACTCTTTCCTTTACCCTCCGTGTTTGTCCTCGCTGTTATAAATGGAGTCCGAGGGTAGCTGCTTGAGGGGSCCAAGGCTTAAGTTTGGATCCTCTTAGATGGTGGGTGGAAAGGAAGCCTTCTGTCCCTTGGCTCCCAGTCCCCATAGAGTGGGGCAGTAACCCCCTCCTGACAGAGCCACTTGTGTTTAAAATACACTAAGGGCCAGGGGTGGAGCTCAGGGGTAGTGTGTGCTTGGCATGCGTGAGGTCCTGAGTTCAGGGTTAACCTTCCCCTTATACATGCACACACAGAGAAAAGCAAATGTCATGAACATGGTCATGTGGKAAAAGTCAGGACAAACTCAACTGCTCTTTGAAAAGTCTGCCCAGGCATGTTGCCAAGTGAAAGAAGCCAGATGCAACCAGCCACACACTATGAGCTTCCACGGGTGTGGACTGGAGAGTCACTTCTGTGGAGAAGACAGCAGACGGTGGCAGGCAGGAACTGGTGAGGGAATGGTGGGCACAAGGTACCAAGTTCCCATTTGGGAAGATGAAGCAGCTCTGGAAGTACACAGGGATGCTGGCTGCCCAAACTGAATGTTCTAAATGCCCCTGCATCATTCACTTTAATGGCATGCCTATTTTTAATATGTGTGTGGTTCTGGGGACTGAACCCAAGGGTGCTTCACCACTGAGCCACATCCCCAGTCTTTTTTTTTTTTTTTTWAAAGACACGGTCTCACAATATTGCCCAGGCTAGCCTCAAATTTGCCACCCTCCTGCCTCAGCCTCGTGAATAGCTGGSATTAGTTTAAATAATAAATGTTATGGGTATTTTACAATTTTTTAAGAAGTTTCTCAGGATAACATTTACATACGAAGCCCATCCATGCTCCCTTCATACAACAGTTTTCCTACCTGGCTTTTTGATCTGACTTGTCAGTGACACCTCAATAAAGGCAACAGGACTGTCAGCCACAGTCCTGGGGCCCCGAGAAGGAGGACAGAACCCCACGAGCCCAGCACGCATGACCACCCTTACCTTCATGCCTTCTTCCTTCCCACTTTCAATCAACTCATCTATTCTCTTCCTTTCTTCAGACTGGGTGGAGAAGAAAAGAGCAGTTTTAGCATTTACTCTAGGCTACATCACAGGGCCATGGCTGGTCTCTRTGACATGGGTCCCCAAGCACCGTCCTTTCTTCATCATCATCTGTTGCGGACAACTGTCACCTGGAACCAGCTTCACCTGGAGCAGGAGGGACCCAGTGCTAGCCCAAGGGCAGAGGGGGTCTGTCATATCTTGGATCTTAAGTGTCCCAAAGGCACATGTGTTAAAGGTGTGGTCCCCAGTGTGGCACTACTGGGGGGCAGTGAAACCCTGAGAAAGTAGGAGCTAGTAGAGGTCTTCTGGTCACTGGGGACATGCTCTTGAAGGGCACAGTAGGACCTCAGCCTCTCTTCTTCCTGGCTGTTAGGGGAGTGGTTTTGCTGTCACATACTTGCTCTGTGACATGCTGGCTAACCCAAAGCCATGGGGGTCATGGTTTGAAACCTCTAAACTATGAGGTAAAAGCAGAAAATCACACTATACGCTGACCATCTCGGGTGTCTGATGYAGTAACAGAAAGCTAACACAGAGCCTTCTAGATATGTTCTTCTCGGCGTGTAGCAGGAGTCTAACTCCATACATAATTACTGTAGGAGGTTAGAGGCTGAGCCCTTTAGAGGACACGTGTGCTCCATACCCTTCCCCGCCCATCACCTCTGTGAGGCCCACAGAACTCTGCATCTCCCCAGGAGCCACGGCCATGGACAAGGGGGATCCCCGCCAGACAGTCCACATGGCCCTGAGTGGAGAAGCTGGAAGAGTGGACACTCCCATCTCCCTTTTCCAATTAGCAATAATTAGCAATAATCGCGCCTCGGATAAACCTCATTGGCTAGGATACTGCCACTGCGCAAAGCTATCATATCCCTTTTCCTATGGAGCTGGGCCCTGCTGCTCTCAGTGCATAGACACTATGGAACAAAAGGGACTACGTGAAGTCCGACTAGCAGCCTCAGGCCAGCGCAGTGCAGCAGCAGACCTCTGCCTAACATGACAGCAGAGACCAGCTCTCCCTGAACCAGCTCTCTACACCTGCAGTGGGCCAGACACTGTGATGTGTTGGGGACACTGGTGAATGGGACAGGTCTCTGCCTCCTTTCCACTCAAGCTACACCTTGCTGGTCTCCTGGCTGTCACTCTGCCACCCCACACCCCATTCTGCACTCAGCAGCGGGAGCAGTCTTTTGAAAAGGTCAAAGAGATCGGCCACTGCAGCGTTGACTTCAGAGTAGGCACTCACATCCCAGAGCTGGCTCCTTAGTTGTGACAAATTTACCAGAGTAACAAAAAATGTTAACAATGAGAAGCCAGGCAAAGCCTCTGTGGGGACTTTCTGTACTATCTTTGCAACTTTTCTATAAATCTAAAACAATAATTCCAAAATTAAAAGTTCATTTAAAAAAAAAACAAAGGTTCTACTGCTACTGGGATAAAACCCAGACTTTCCTCTGTGGTCTGGAAGGTTCTGCAAGATCCAGATCTCCCTCCCAGCCCTTATGCCTGCCTACCCGGAGCCCACCACAGCCTCACAGATGTTCCTCCAAGGCTAAGCTTGCTCCTGCCATGGGGCTTTGCAWTCACTGCCCTTTTAAAAAAATGTATTGTAGTCCTGGGAATTGAACCCAGGGGTCCTCTACCACTGAGCTAGAGCTATAGCCCTTTTTCTTTTAATTTTTTTTTTGGTAGTTATAGATGGACAGAATGCCTTTATTTTATTTGTTTATTTTTATATAGTTCTAAGGATTGAACCCAGTGCCTCACACATGCTAGGCAAGYGTTCTACCACTGAACTACAGCCCCAGGCCTCCGGAGCCCTTTTTGATTTTTATTTTGAGACAGGGTCTCACTAAGTTATCATAGCTGTCCTCCAACTTGTGATCCTCCTGTAGCAGCTTCCYGAGGGGCTGGGATTACAGACCTGCACTACTGTCCTTAGCACAATGGTCTTTTGAAATTGCTACTCATTCTCCACCTGAATGTAAGCTCCAGGAGCACAGGAGCCTACCCTGCTCCCACTGGAGAATCCTGACTAGGACCTGGAGGTAGAGCAAACAAACCCCTTTAGCAACCACACGCACCTTACTCATAGTGATGGCTAAAGTGTACAGATGAGGGACGAGGGCCACATACATGGGAGCAGGCGTGGAAAACYGGGGACAGGTAACTGGAATTTTCCTGCTGACACTGAACGCGGGCTAGAGGACCCAAGCAGCTAGATGCCCTGAACACAGAGCCAGGGAGTTGGAATCTGGTTCAAGGCCAGAAGCCCAAGGCCTGCAAGCAGTTAGTTCTGGGCTTCCTAARGAGAGTTCTGGCAGAATACAAGCTGGCCTTCAGCACATGGAGTGGTGTTGGCAGGGCCTGAGTGAGGGTGAGGGGGGCTTGTGGACAGAAGCAGACGCTTTTAACAGTGCCAGGGTGGGATCGGCAACAACACCACAGGTCCAGCCCTGGGGCTGGTTGGGAATTAGAAAGGGCTGCCAAAAGGTGGAGCTCSCAACCCAGTGTGGCTGCCATGTTGTCCACACCCAGGCCAGCCAGCCTTGGGGCCCCTCTGCACAGCACCAAGGGGCTGAGGGTAACTACCTAGGACCCATCCCGAGTTCAAATCCTGCAACCTGATTCCTCTCTCCTGCCTTGGCCTGGACCCTGGACCCAGCTACCCATCCCCCACTTTGTCTCCAAGCTCAGTGAAATGTCTCAGAGGTTTTCATTTCAGTTTCACTCCCACCTACCTGGACCCCAGCCTGGGCCCAGTTCCTGCTGGCCTYGAAGGGCAGCAAGGTCAGACCAACTTCACCACTCAGACAAGCCCCACTGGCCACACCCTGGGGTTTCCTCTGCACACTCAAGAGAGTATACACCCAGGCCCACAGCAGCCACGTTGGCTGGGACAGAGACAGCCTCACCCCTGGCCAGCAGCAGGCTCACTGCCATGGGCAGCAACAGCCCAGCATTCACTCGGCAGAGCCCACACACATAGGGAAGGGCACAGCACAGCTGTTGCTCACAACTGGCTCCTGGTCTGTCCCCAAATGARCTTTTTGTGTCTGCAGCCCAAGCTCTGAGAAGACCAGGACATTTCCCTCCCCCGCCTGTACTCCAAGACTGAGCAGACCCCACTGCGTTCCTCTCTCCTCCAGGCCCAAGAACCCTGGCTTCCTAGTACAACAAGGTGAACTCAGCTGCCTGGACCCGAGCCCCAGCGCTCCTGAGCAGCAGCCTGCAGCTCCAGCCCTGGCTGGGAGGAGTCCGCTGGGCAGGCCCCGCCCTCCCTCTGCATCACTGCATTTGGCAGTGACAAGCACAGCCTCCCACTGCTGGCCTGTTTTATAACAGCTCCTTCTTGGCCAAAAGAAACTGCCATTCTCCAAAAATAAAGCCAAAGTAGTTCTCTGGGGTTAGAAAAATGGACTGTTTTAATTTCTTTCTTTCTTTTTTAAAAATAAAGCTCCCTCAATTAAAAGTAAAAGCATGGTAGATCTGTGTATCTACATTTGCAGATTTAACGTAACACGAGCTAGAGGAGTCTGGAAAGGTTGAGGCAGAGACACTGTCCAGCTGGGCTCCCTCCTTGTGCGGGAAGGTGATCCTGAGCACCCAGGTCTGTGGGAGGGCTGTGGGAGGGGAGTCAGGGTGTATGTGTCCATGTGTTGGGGCCCGGCCACACCCTGCAGTTCCGGAACAGGAAGGCAGTGGCCACGCCCACTGCAGCACACAGGACACTGCAGCCCCCTGCATGGCACATGCGGGTGTAGCCGCCACAGGCTGCCTGGCCTTTCTGCCCGAGTTCTCCAYTCATTCTGCATGTTCCCAGCTGGCTGGGAAGCAATGGGGACGATAGTCACAGTTAACTGGCCTCACTGTGGGCCAGGCACAGTCCTGTGTTCCCCACATCTGAACCCATTTCTTTATTCCCCTCACCAACCACGCCAGGCACTATTTTATCTCCTCATTCTACAGATAGGAGCGTGTGGCAGGGTAGGTGACCGACCTGTGATTGCACAATCAGGAAATGGTTCCAACCGCTGCTCTTTACTATCCTGAACAACAACATGGAAACTTTTAGATTACAGATAGGGCAAGCCTCTGAAAGAAGAGRTGGCCTTTCCCACAATTCCAGCTCCAAATGGCTCTGCCAAAGTCCTRGAAAAGCCACCCTGACAAGAACACCTGGCTTTCTGTGCCCTATGATATAGGTTGAGCTTCTTCACAGAAGCCTCCCAACTGCAGCCCCTGATGACCCCAGCAAGCTCTTGGTGACCCCTGCTACAGGGAGGGCAAAACCAGCTCCAGAGAGACAAGAGGCCTGGCCYAAGACGACAGCATGAAGCCCAGGCCCGGGGGGCCACACCACCCAACTCTACCTGCAGCTCGGCCTTGCTCTTCCTGGAGCTCCTCCGGACAGGGTAGAAGTCCGTGAGTTTGCGATTCTGTTGCGTTTTTCCTTGAGCTCTGGGTGAGAAGAGGAGAAASCAACCATCAGGCCTGAAACCACACCCATACAGCTCCTTAAGAGGTGGCACCTTGGACACAATGTCACCTAACACCTCTGCCCACTGGGGCCTGGTGGCATATCAGCTCACCTGCCCGGGGGGCCTCAGAGACAAAGGATAGACTATCTATTCTCATCAGGGAGGGACGGCAGGCAGAGCAGGCCTTGTSGGCTCAAGCCACACTGAGGTGCTGGCATACAAGGACACCAGGATGAGGCCTCAGGRGTCTGAGCCTCTGCCCGATAGGGGCTGAGAAGATGGAATGCTGAACCCCAGTGGGCACCCAAGCAGCCTTCTGGCAGTCAYAGGAGTCAAACTGCTCTGCTCTGGGAGGAGAGATTGAGGGGACTTACTTTTTCCGAGGGGTCTGTTTTCCCTTGAGGGGCTTTTTCAGGGCCTGCTTGGCAATGGCTGCATTGGTAGAATCACAAGTCGAGGTTGGAGTTTTTGGAGGTTCTGCTGCTTCAGATTTTTGGTTTGGAAAAGGTGCCAGGGGACCTCTCCTGGCGTCTTTGATCTTCTGTTCTTCGGATTTCAGGGAGCTCCGGATGGCATTCCCAGCACTTCTTTTCTCTGCAGGGGAGGGTGGGAAAAGACGGGTTTATTTTCTACTCCCCGTCTTCCAATCTTTAGACAGAGGATCATGAGAACCTCAGGCAGCAATGCCCAGCCTACTGAGCCAGGGCCCACCAYGCCATCAAGGCAGAAGTGCCTGGTTCTAGTCTCTAACCCACCAGGCAGAGGATTTAGCCTTCTGCCTCTTGATCGGGGAGAGAGCCCGTAAGGCAAAGCACCACGGACGGCAACACTGGCAGGAGCACCCAATCAACYGATTTTAGGAATTAGGTTTCAGATCCCAAAAAACAAGCTCACTTCCTAAAGCACGATAGTCCTGGTCCATGCAAGTAGGGGACAAAGGAGAAACTCTGTCCAAGCACTGCCCAGCATGCATCCTTTCAGATGCTTGACAAAACAAGTTCTCCTTCTCTCCTCTTTTTCTTTTCTATCTGTGGTGCTGGGGATGCAACGCAGGGCCTCACAGATGCTATGCAAGCACTTTACCACTGAGCTATACACCTGGTCCTTTTTATTTTTTAGTTTTTCAAAAATATCTTGTCAATGGACCTTTATTTTGTTTATTTTTATATGTGGTGCTGAGAATCAAACCCAATGCCTCACACATGCCAGGCAAGTGCTCTACCACTGAGCCACAACCCAGCCCTCATGGGTTTCTTTTAAGGATGATGAAAATCTTCTGGAATCAGTCATCGATAATAGTTGCAGAACTCTGTGGCTATACTCAAAACCACTGAACTGTACATTTTAAAATGTTCAACTTTATGATACATGAACTACAGCTCAATAAATAAAAAAAATAAATAAGTACATCATGTGTGCTCACGCACACAAACAGTTAAGTTTTGCTGTGCTTAGCAAAACAAGGGGTTCTGTGAGAAAGTATGAACTCTTTGAACTGTGTCCTTGTTGCTGTCTTAAGAASATAAAAGAATGTTCTGCCAAGTGTAAAATTTATATATATGTTTTTGCCTGGGAATAACTAACCACAAGTTAAATGATAAGAAGTGCGGAGCACTGTGACCATAAACAAAGTTTTCCTGAGGATGTTTATCCATGCTTAAAAGGATTAAGCTGCCGAAAGGATGTTTTTACTTTTCCCTTGTTTTAATTAACAATGTGGTATAAAAGAAGGAGAGAAAAAAGTAAAGAAAGTGCTCATTTTCTACTGAATGTGAGTGTGTGTCTTTTTTTAAGCATCTCTGCTGTACCAGGAATTACAGATTGTCAGTGGGTTCTGACAATATCAATCCTGATCTTTTTCACTCCCTTACATGCCTTCTTGAGTAGAACCACAGAATATTGGCGTCAGTATGGCACGGGTAACCCCAGGAGWCTCCATGAATATTCCCTCTGCGGTCAGTCTGCCATGGTAGAACTAGGTGTAAGAGCCTGGCCCTTGGGGTCTCCAAAGTACATTTGACTCCAAATTTTAATCATTGCCAGTTGGTAACACCATTAGCCAAATAAGTTAGCTTATTTGGGACAACAYACATTTTGTCCTATCCCAAAATACATGTGAGGCTGGCTGGCTACCACAACAGCTTCCTGCCCCACACCTGAGTGGCAGGTGCTATCCTAAGTGCTACAGGAACAGGAATGAGCAAGGACGTGATGCTGGCAGTGGGGAAAGCTGGCATCTAGAGCGTATCACAAAGCCCTTCTGCATTTTTGCTGAAATTTATCCTCTAGATAGCCTGCAGGTGAGGTAGGACTGCTCTTTCCCAACTTACAGATGAGACAACCGAGGTTCGAGGCTCGAAGAAGATAAGCAACCTCCCTGGCTCCTCCTTCCAGATGGCAGTTAGGATTAGAACCCAACTCATCTGAGATTAGAATAGTATCACTCTGTGTCTGGGGGGAATCAAGCTGAGGGCAGGCTCCAGCCTCCATGCCTGGTTCTCAGATCTGGCCCCAGAGGTCAGGCTCCATCATCACTTAGGATGTTATCTGTCGGCAAATACAAGGCTTCCCCCATGGAGCCGCTGGGAGCCAGAGGCTCTGCTCCTGTCAGGCAGGTTTTAACTAGTTGGGAAAGAACTCACGCTCCCTATTGAAGTTCCAAAAGAGAATATTTGGATGAGAGTAAGATTCTTAGCTTGATTGCAGGACCAGACAGAATTTTACATAACCATGCATTTTCTGGTTTTAATTAATTAATTATTTTGCCATGCTGAAGACCAAACCCAGAGTCTGATGTGTGCTAGGCGAGCGCTCTATGACGGGGCTAAACCCTAGCTCTCCCTCAGCACTTCAATTCCACATCCTGTTGCAGAGTATGCTGCTTTAATTTAGACAGTAATGCTGAATATTTGGGTAGAAAGAAACTTTAGAAACGGAGTCAAGGCCCACCAAAGGGAACGAAGTTGATCCCCTGTATTCACACAGCACATGATTGCCTTGTCTATACCATCTGTACTTTTCACACTTAGATTCTCTAACTGTGGGTCAGGCGCATTAGTTTGTAACTTGGCAAGACAAGTTGAAGGACATGCTAACTCCTGTGAAGGCAGGGAGAACCTGTTGGACCAACAGGGCAGACGCCCTGGGATAGGCTACTCTTTTCCCTTTTTTTTTTTTTAATATTTTTTTTAGTTGTAGTTGGAYGCAATACTTTTATTTCACTTATTTATTTTTATGAGGTGCTGAGGATCGAACCCAGGGTCTSGCACGYGCRAGGAGAGCGCTCTACCGCCGAGCCACAACCTCAGCTCTCCCCTGTATTTTTTTAAAAAATATTTTTTTAGTTGTAGATGAACACAACATCTTTATTTATTCATTTTTAGGTGGTGCGGAGGATCGAACCCAGTAYGCGCTAGGCAAACAGAACCCCAGCCCTCCCCTGTGTTTTTTAGCAGGAAGATGGAACATAGTTCAAATTTCTCAAACTAGGGATTGGAAAGCCTGGATAAACATATACACATATATGTCCTCACAAAGGAGGGGGTTTCTGCAACCTAATCAGCTGAGATCAGAATAAGACCATTTTGAAGGCTTACCTTCTCGTTTCCTGTAGATTCCAGCTAATGGTTTCCCCTGGCATTTGACTTCGTGATGTGCAACTGAGTTCTCTTCCTGAAGGGGGGAACGCATTCCAGAGCATTTGTTCGGGCTCATGTAGGTATAGATCTTTGATTGCCCGGCAAATACGTTCTCCTAAAAAGACAAATGAGTATTCTGAAAGAGGCTTGAAAAAGAAGAAAATCTCATAGCATTTAAGAGGAGAAGGGAAAATAAGAATACAAAAAACAGCAGGGTGTGGGAGCACACGCCTGTAATCCCAGCAACTCAGGAGGCTGAGAGAGGAGGATCACAAGTTCGAAGCCAGCCTCAGCAAGGTAGCAAAACCCTGTCTCAAAATAAAAAATAATTTTTAAAAAGACTGAGGATGTGTTGTTCAGTGGTAAAGCACCCCTGTGTTCAATCCCTGGTACCAAAAAAAAAAAAAAAAAAAAAGACAAAAGACAAATGACATTATCTCTCAACAACAACTAAGCTACAAGGGATTGCCAGCTCCAATTCTCAGGGGAGCACTGGCAGGTTTAGAATTTCCCCAGATCCAAGAACACATGAGGTCTCCAATTATGGTGGTATCTAGCCAGAGGGAGAACCAGTTGTACACCAAGGTCTACATGGGAGGAAGCAGACCTACCAGGTCCAAGTGAACCAAGGAAAACTTACTGGCAATCTGGAGGGCTAGGCTGAGCTTAGAAGTTAACTTCCCTGGCAGGAGCAGCAACTCTAACTTAGAAACAGGCCTCAGGGAACATGATTAATCACTTGGTCCTGAGATCAGCTGGGAAGGCTTGTCATATTGCTTGAGCCTCCGGAGTGCCCAGCCTGGCCCCTCTCAAATCACYACAACCCAGCCTCCTCCCTGGACTGTGGTTGGCAGATTCTCCAGGGTGGTGAGGGAGACTAATGAAAGCAGAGCAGGGCCAGGACATTTAGGGCGGTCACCCTAAGGCAAAACCGCACTTGGCTACTAACAGTGGGCAGGGTTAGGGTACAGGTCACTGCAGGTCTCTGGGTGTGGGGCCTCTCCTCCCAGTGAGCACATAGGGGGAGGTCTTCCCCAGAAACAATGCGGGCCTTGCTGCCTGGTGATCCATCCAACGCCAAGTCAGAGAACCGGCAACCTCTCTGGGGGCACCCAGACAGGCCCCGCACACCCTCGGAAGGCAGCCACCCCCGGAGACGCTGAGTCTCGGGGAGCGGAAAGGCACATTGAGCCACCGTCAAACTTTTTCGAGGTCAAACACTGCCAGGGTCATGGCGGAACCCAGCGTGGCCGCCACTCCCAGCCAGGCAGCAGAAAAGGAAGCTGCCCCGGCCGGGCGCCCCAGGGCGGCGCGGGCGGGGGCCCGGGTTCGACCACGTGCTCGCGGCCCGGGCCCGGCGGGCGCACCGCTGAGTGCGGGGAGGGTGCCTGCTTACCCCGTTGGTGCGGGGCCTCCCCGGGCCCCTCCGCTCCACCATCTCCGGGCCCGGGGCCGTCGCTGCCACCGCCACCGCCGCCGCCGCCGCCGCCGCCTCCACCGCGCGGGGCTTGGACATCTTCCTGCCTGGAGAGGGGGACCCGGGGGAAGCGGGGGAGGGGGCGCTCAGGGCGCGGCGGGGCGGGGAGCGGGGCCGCCCGGGCCGGGCGCCGCGGCGGCGCCTCCCGCCGCAGCCATGTTTCGAGGGCCCAGCGGTAGTGGGCCAACCGCGCCGCCGGGAGGCAGGGGCCGGCCGGCCGGGCCGGGCCGGGGCCCGCGTCGCCCTCCCGCCGCCCGGCCCGGCCGGGCCCCGCGCGCCGCCCGCCCCCCGCGCGGCCGGGCCCGACACACCCACCTGCAGCCCGGCCAGGCCCATGGCGGCGCGCCCCGCGCCCTCGCCGCCGCCGCCGCGGCCCGGCCACCAGCGCTGCCGCTGCCGCTGCTGCTGCTGCTGCCGCCGCCACCAGCGCCGCCGCGGCGCCCCGGGGAAGGGCCGGCGGCGCCCCACGGCGCCCCCTTCCCCCATGGCCTGCGAGGCAGGGCGGGCACCCGCGCGCCGCGGCAGCCCCGGGCTGCCCGGGGCGAGGGACGCAGGAGAGAGGCGCTGGCGGCGCGTCCTCCGCGGCCCGCTCGCCGCCGCCGCCCACCGTCCGGCTCCCCGCCCGGGGAGGGGGCTGGCAGGGGCGGCGCTGCAAGGCTCCTCGGAGGGAGGGAGGGAGCGAGCGAGGCGGGAGAAGGGAGGGCGCGGCGCGGCGAATCCGGACTCGGGCGCGCCCCCTCGCGCGCGTCCTCAGCCACTCGSCGAGCACCGGGTGCGGAACACGGTCACGACTGCCAGGTTCCCCGCCGGCCGGTCCTCTCGCGGTTCCACGGGTATTCAGGGAGCCCGGTTGGTGCCAGGCGAAACCAGCAGCGGAGAATGGGAGGAGAGGGCTTCGGTGCGCCCGGAGCTGTGCTCACCGACGTCTCTTAAACTCCGCCAGCCCGCGGGGGCAGGCACTGTCGCCATCTCAGTTTAAGATGGGGATGCTGAGGCTAAAGGTCTGGGCAGGAGTTTGCCCAAAGTCACAGAACCAGGAAGTGACCGKGCTAAGAGTCAAACCTAAGTGGTCTGTACTTAGCCGATAGGAGGCCTGGGGAGGCAGAGCCTGGGCTTGTATTGATAAGCTTACTGGGTGCTTCCTTGCATAGTTGTGTCATTCAAACCTCACAAAAGTCTCACGCAGGAAGGCACCATTAACTCTTTTCTACAGATGGGGAAAATAAGCTTCAGGGAAGTGAAGAGTTTGGCCAGATCTCACAACTAGAAACGGGTTTCTAGCCCAGGACAACAGACCCTGAAGACTGCTCTCCTAGCCACTACCATTCCCTGTTACAGATGAGGCAACTGAGCTTAGGAGGAGAAAATGGTGTTGCAGAGGGTATAGCAGGTCACCTTGTGCTCCTGCCTTAACTCCCATGAGAAAATGCCCCAGGTAKACTGGGTTCCAGGCACTCTGATGGCTGTCTCTGCAGAGCTCACTGCCTTGTGCTAGAGCTGTGGGCCCACAGCCAAAAATTCGTCAGTATATTTGTGCAAAGTCATAGATGCAAACAAGGTACTTCAAGATGTCCAGCTCTTACTGCCTGGGTTTCTCTCACTGTATTTGCCCAACGAAGCTTTGTGGCCATGGCCAAGGCATTTCCCCAGGCTAGCCCTCAGCTTCCTCATGGGTAAAAATCAAGAACATTTTATTCCATAATCTACCCAAGGCACCTTCTAACATATACAGGTTAAAAAAAAAAAAAAAGGCTATAGCCACCTCTCTGCCTTGCCTCCCTTCAGAAGGGATATGACTGAGTAGGATTAAGTGACAGGATGGCACTCAGGGCAATGCCTCCCAAACTAGCTCAAGTTTTAACATCCATCAAGACAGGATTCCACCTTGACCATTAACCCCAGTGGGATAGGGCATTCTTCACATGCCCTCTGCAGAGTCTATTGTACTTGAATACCCGGGATGAGGAAGAAAGAGGATTCCAAAGTGACATTCTGACACCCAGTAAAGCCATTTGAAAAGTGTCTCTACATATAGAGCATATTTTGCAGACTGYTGTCAAATCATGATGGGAATCATGGCTCTAGAGAAGGAAACATACATACAAATCATTCTGTTCACTTCACAAGGATACCATTCTCCCTCTCTACACTTATGGCCATAGCTTTCATTGCAATGTTAGTCCCAAAAGCAGGGGATTCAAGTCTAGCACCAATTCCTCTAACTGAAGCTTGAGTACCCAGAAGAAGTAAATGCAAATCATTCARTGTATCAAAACAGTTCTCCCCTTCTCTGCACCTGTTTATTTGCATTATTTGCAATATATATATATCCATCGATGGAAATACAGATGCTCTATTTTGCCCAGGAATTTGTAGAAATATAATGCAACAGTGATATTACTAATAACTAACACTTATTGAATGTTTATGATGTGCTAGGCCCTGAAATATTGCATTATTTAAATTTCCCGGGAACTGATGAGAAGGTACTATTACTCCTGTTTCACAGATGTGGAAACTGAGGGTCAGGACAAATAAATCACTATAAGTTCTATGACTAGAAAGTGATGAAACTGGGTGGAATCTGAACCTAGTTCTGCTAGATAAGCATATTTTACCAAAAAAAAGAATGTATATAGCATCTCTTGAATTCAAATGCTAACATACTGATTCATTCATTCAACAAATATTTATTGGATACCTACTTTGTTTCAGGTCTTGTGCTAAAAATAGGGCAGTGAACACAAAAATAGGTGGAGMACAGTGAGGCCAGGGGTCTTGCCGTGGCATTGTTGGTGACCTTGTGGGCCACAGTTAACTACTGTGGCTTTTATTCTAGGAGCAATGGGAAGATTGGTGAAGGAGAGAGTAGTAAGGGTCCCATGCTAAAAATCTGTATTCTCGGGAACTACTCTACCTATGAAGGGATAATGAACTGGAAGTGGTAAAAATGCATGAAGGAAGAACCATCTGAAAAGGGCCATTTGACAATAGAAGAGATGAGAGAAGTAGATGGACTGATCCTCCTCAAGCTAAAATACTTGGGGTTGTAAATAGTTACGAGACTATAAAATTTTAAAACCAACTGGGTGGGGAGGCCCATGTCTGTAATCCTAGCGACTCAGGAGACTGAGGCAGGAGGATCACAAGTTCCAGGACAGTTTGGACAACTTAGTGAGATCCTGTCTCAAAAGACCTAGATGGGGCTGGGGATGTGGTTCAAGCAGTAGCACCCTTGCCTGGCATGCTTGGGGCACTGGGTTCGATCCTCAGCACCACATAAAAGTAAAATAAAGATGTTGTGCCCACCAAAAACTAAAAAATAAATATTAAAAAATTCTCTCTCTTTAAAAAAAAAAAAAAGGCCTAGGGATGTGGCTCAGTGGTTAAGAGCCTGGGTTCAATTCCCAGCACCACAAAAATAAATAAATAAAACTTCAAAACCAGCTAGGAGTCGACTGGTATCTGAACAGTTTGTAACATACTGGGGCTCTCAAAATAAACTGCAAATCTGAAACAAAGAATGATTTTCTAGAAGAAAAAGCTTTCTTTTGCTATTCTACAAATAATTTGGTGTTTACAATCCAATTTACTAGTCTGCAAGCTTAGCGARGCCTAAGAAACAGGTAAGTACTAATCCAGGGGTCAAGTGAGACAGTGAAAATCTCCAACCAATAATTACAACGGTGATTTGTAAGCCTACCATGGTAGAAGCTGGAAAACTTTGACCTTCACTKAGGCTAATTAAGGGAGATGGGGGCCCAATGAGCAAAGGCACAGCATGGCTAGAGTCTGGAAGGTGACTTGAACTTCAGCTTCCATCTCTGAAAAAACATTTTGTAAAGATTAAATGAGCTCCTTCTGTTCGTAAGTGATGATTGGGTATTCCCGCAATTGTGTGAGATGTGCCTCCCTCTAAACATATTACAGCATAGGCACATTACCCATCTGAAGTGAAGGGAAAAAAAAAAAAAAAGATTAAATAAGATAATAAACTGCCTGGCCCTCAATAATTATTATTTGGGCTGGGGTTGTAGCTCAGTGGTAGAGCACTTGCCTACCATATGTGAAGCACTGGGTTCGATTCTCAGCACTGCATATAAATAAATGAATAAAATAAAAGGTCCATCAATATCTAAAAGAAAAATTTAAAAATAATGATTTTAAGCACTTTTTTTCCTTTTTTTTAACTTTTACTTTTGAAACTGGTAGTTTAAATGTTTTTGCAGTGATGGGGAAAACAAAGAATCAGTTTTACTAAGTCTTGTCAGATGAATATACTTTTTGATGGTTAACACTTTTTTCAGGAAAAATATTAGTTTTAATTTCCCTGTGAATTATGAATTGGATTACARCTCTTTAACCGGAAGTTTACTAGGCCTCATTACTTCATTAGAATCTAGGGAAGTCTAGCCCCATGCTGTGGCCACGTCTGTAATCCCAACTACTATTGAAGCAGGAGGATCACAGGTTCCAGGCCAGCCTGGGCAACTCACCAATACTCTGTCTTAAAATGAAAATAAAATAAAATAAAAATGTCTGGAGATATGGCCCAATGGTAAAGTCCCCGGGGGGCTCAATTCCCAGTACTAACAAAATTAAATAATAAATCCCTGGGGAAGTCTTGTCCCAAAAGATCCTACCCTGAATAAATGATGCAATCGAGTATAGGGCCTGAAAACAACAAAGGGGCTCCATAAAGATTTGCTGAATGAATCGTGATTTTATTAATTATTATTGCTACAGGGAGTACACTACAGTAAGCCAAATTACTACCAACACACGATGCCTTGGAATTTCGAGAAGAATATAATACTACAACTCGATTTTTAAAAAAATCGATAATTCTAGTTGCCTGTCACGCTTAAGTTTTTGTCCCTTGAGCGTGCAGGAGGAGGCAGCCGCTGGAAATGACCAGCGGTTGGAGATCTCTTTGCCGCATAACGTGGGCTCCACTGTCCTGACAGCAAACTAAGTATGCAAAGACTGACTTGAGGCAGGGACGTCGCCCGCCGAGGCTGCACAAGCCCACCCACGCCATCCGCGAAGGGCTGGAGTCCTGGCCGGCTTCTGGGCGGAGGGCTGCTCCGGGAGGTGCCGGGGGACACGTTTCTGCTCGAAGTGTGCCAGCGGCCGGCCCTCGCCCCGCGGCGCAGAGCTGACTCAGGGAGTGGGGAAGGAGGGTGCCCGCCGCGGCGCTCCCAGGAGGCAGGCTCCGGGTCTGCGCCCTCGCCCCGGGAGCTTCCTGTCCCTCGACGGGGCGCCCCAAGGTGGGCGAAGCCTCGGCCCCCACCCCCCCGAACAAACAACCGCTCCCAGAGGTGCCCCGGTCGTCAGTTTCCAAAGGGCGCTGGCACATGGGTCCGCCGCCTCTGGAGAGGCGGTCAGTGGGCGCCCACACTTGAGAAGAGCCTGAGGCGCCGCGGTGGAGGCGCTCCTGCAGGCTTCAGGAGCAGGGGCAGGGGGCAGGGGGCGGGGAGCGGGCG